GAAGTCTCTCTCTCTCTCTCTCTCTCTCTGTCTCTCTCTCTCTCTCTCTCTCTCTCTCTCTGTGTGTGTGTGTGTGTGTGTGTGTGTGTGTGTGTGTGTCTGACGCTCAGCTCACACACACATTCGAGCTGAGCTCCTGCCTGCCGACTGACAAGCACACAGACCTACCCTCGTGCACGACCCTGTCTCTCTCCTTTTTCCTCTGAGCCCAGAGATCGATCGCTGACCCCACGATTGGGCCAACGCTTTATTTATCTGGCTGCGCAATGATATTATCAGCCTTAAACGTTATATACAGCAAATGTCTTCCTAAATCAACACAATAGGCTAGCTTGCAGAGACCAGCCTGGTCTGTCTTAAAGAAATCCTCGCTCTTTTTCTTTTTCTCCCTCTGTCCCCCAGGTACTCCTTCTCCTTTCTTTCCTTACATTTGGGAATATTTTACACTCTGGACTAGGAGATTTGATCCTTTGCTTTCAGCTTGGTTAGAGGAGGCCTTAGCAGTCCAGGAGATGGATAGACACCATTATCCAGCTATCACTGAGATTCCCATCAGGGGTTCCCTTGTCAGCGGGATCTAACTACTCAGACCCACTCTATTCACATGATCCGGATTTCTCAAAATTGGGGTAGGAGGGAAAGCGAGGGGTGGGGAACCGAGTTGCAACCTTGCACCGTGTTAATTGTTTTCTTTCCTCTCAATTACATTCATAAACCTATTTTCTGCATTGCATGTTATTTCTTTGTGCTTCAAAATTGAAACCACGTGCAGCGCCTTCTCTCCTCCACACACACAATAAATGCACTGCCCCCTCCCCCAACCCATCACGTAACTATTTACATCTTGGTTACTCACTCTATGCTCAGACCCTGGGAGAAGAAATTGGCCCCGTGGGACTAGGTGAGGCTTTGTGAACAGCATATCTCAAATCAGAATCTCGGGCCCCCATCTCGGGAAAAAGCTCCTGGGTTCACCTCTCGCTCCCCCCACTGCCCCCCTCAAGGCCCACTCTTCGCACAGGTGGTTTAAGTTTTCACTGGGAGAGAGCGAGCAGGGGGGACATCCAAGGAGAAAGAAAGTTCTGCAGTGTTCGGCCAGGCCCAGCCGCCACCTACGCCACACCCTTGTTTGCCTGCCAGTCGGGGCCAGTCCGGGTCAGCTCTGGCAGCGTACAAACTTCTATTGCTCACAGACCCCTGCGCCCTGACGCAGCGGACCCCCGCACAGGGAGCCACAACTCCCCGGGGAGTATTCCAGTCCTGGGTCTTCCCAGGCAAAGAAATCCCACAATAAATAAATAAATAAACTCCAAAGGGGGGAGGGGAAGCTGGAAAATGGATTCGCTGACAAGGAGAGATAATAAATGAGAGGCGCTTTCAGATAGATATCTCAGACGTGAAATTGCGCCCAGCTGGTTGTGTAAGCAAACAAATAGTTTCATGTTAGGAACTCTCAACTTGTGGCTTGATGAATAGAACACGACAGAGGTAAATGGGTCTTTAACTCATTTAGGAATACAACTCTTTGGCTTCGCAAGTAAAAGGCCCAGTGACGCCATAGATCCTGAGCAGGCCCTTTAACAAGAGTTTTATTAGTTCCCACTTGTGTCCCCCTCCACTCCCTCCTCACGCTCCTCATGGTCTGCTATTTGCAGAGACATTGATGATTTGTTCTGAGGAATCCAGGAACTGACGGGAGGCGATTCAGTCACTGTAGGAGATATATATATATAAAAAAAATGCCTACCGGTGGAATAAGAGGAGAAAGAATATTTTTTAAAAATAACTTTATTTTTTGCACATCTAGAGTGTGCAAAATCTCAGGTGGGTCGGGAACCTCGGGGATCCAGTTCCCAGCAGCCCTGAGGGCAAAGCTGAATGATGAGGTCTCCCAGACCCTACAAAGACCCGTTGCTGTTGCCAGAGACCAAGAGTCTGCCACAACCGGAGGGGTGGAGTCCCGGAAACATGACAGGGACCGCATCTTCCTCTCTAGTATTCCTTTCACCTAGCCTGGTCCCAGATTGGAACGTGGAGCAAGGGGGACAGCAGAGGTCTTTTCATCCTCAGAGCCATACCTTATACTCCCGTGCAGAAAAGGCGCGATCTTCTTCCCTAAGAGATTCCCTGAGGAGAGCACATCCTGGGATATAGCTTTTCAGATGTTTTAGGCAAAGATTATGGCTAAAAGTAGTTTAAACTAACTTCAAAGTTGATAAAGTTCTCAGCTGTCCAGCAAGTGTTTGGATTAGAAAAGAAAAAAAAGTTAACTTTTCCTAGATAAAAGTTAATTTCACGAGGGAAATCACCTTATGTGAGCTGCGGTCCAACTGATAAGATGTATTTCCTTTGGACCTGGGGAACCTCTTGGTCCTACTTGGACAAGTTAGCTCAGCTCTACTCTTCTGATCTTTTAGGACTTGAGACAGCTTTGACAGGCTGAGGTAAGGCTACATGCCCCATGACAACCGTCTAGTCTACACCTGCCTGCAGCCTTACACCAGAGTTCCATGGCTCCCCCTGGCGCATGGCATGAAGGCGGGCTCAGTACTCAGGAGCCTCCTGGCGGCCACCCAGGCGGAGGAAGCCTGCTTCTGCTCCACCTCACCTCCTCTTAGGGTCTGAGACGTCGCGGCAACCAAGGCCTGAGAAATCGCTGTATGTGGAACCGGGGGAGCCCGGTCGCAACTGGAGCCTGCCGCTTCGCTTCGCACTCTCTGAGACCTCGGGCTGCTTGGCCGCTCAACCCTCATCCCTCATCCCCTGAGACGCAGTAAAGAGGAGGAGGGATATTTTAGATTGCCCGGAACAGAAGGACCTTTTCGGCTGTCACAAGGTTCAACCCACGGTTTAGATGCTGTTTCTAAACTGTCCCTTAGCGCAAGTTGATTCTTGAGTTCTTTCTACACTGTGAGAATGGAAAGCCTTTGGGCAGCCTGTTGGTCCCAGCAGGATTAACCAATGACTCCGGAGTCCCTGGAAGCTCTGATTGTGCAAAGACGACTCTCTGTGCAGGCCAGGGCCACCCTAGCCACCCAGGAGATCACAGGAGAAACCCACAGCCCCAGCCTCCAAATAGGTGAGGAGTATGTGGAAACTCCTTTCTCTTGGTTTCCCCACAACCCCAAGGCACCCTGGCTCCTCCAGGAACCCAAGGGAGTCTATGAGGCCATAGGAAACCCTGCTTCTCCCTGGGCTGTGCCGGTTGATTCTAATCTCAGCTTGGGCCCAGCCTTAGAAAGGTGGCCAGGATTTCCCAGGCCAAGAGTAACTCTGGACCCTGTGAGCAAAAGTCAAGTCACCACTGTTACCTCTGAACACTGGAACAAAATCCTAGCACAACGCACTGAGTACCTTGTCCTTGGGCCTCGATGTTGAAATTAATTGTAAAGTACGTTTCTGACCTATGAAATTGTTTATCTGTTTTCATTAGAGGGATCACATTGTAATGAATATATTTACATCTCATTTCAAGAAACACAGGAAAGATCGTGAGCTCTCTGAGGCTGCTGGCTTCCCCAACACCTGGGCACCCTAACTGCAGCTTACCCCATCCCTATCCCCACAAGCTGCTCTTAGGCAGCAGGAGTGGGTTCCTAATACCTCCTGGAAGGTGATCAGGAATTATATTAGCTCTCCTCATTCCCTCCTGCCTTAGGTGTCCAACCTGCAAGGAATTCAGCTTGGCCCAAAGAAGTTCTTGGGTGTGGTGCAGAGGATCTCTCCAGGGAGTAATTCTGGCTGCTCCAGTGCTCTGCACCCTGCTGTCCTACCTCGAGTGGTCCCCAGGCAGCCTGGTTTCTGATCTTGAACCTACAGTGGTTTCTCCACAGTGAGCTAGGCACTGCCCATGCTGTGTTGCACTCAGAATATTAAAAACCTCAAGTGGGTTGGAGTACAGGAGCTTGTTAATGCATTTTTGGGGGTAGCACCTGGAGACTTCTAGATAGCAAATTGAAAGCAAAACATTGCCAGTGATTTCTGAAAGTGAGGCTCTTGCCTCATACGGGCCTGTCTGGGGCTGGGGGGAAGGGGAGGGTGAGAGGTGTTATTTTTGAAGATCTGGCTTTATTAATACGCTAAGAAAGAGCTCCCTTGGCAGTATGTGTTCTCACAGCTCCAGCTCAGATCCTATAAAACATTCATGCTCCGAAAGCTGTTACAGAGAGCTGCCCCCCACGCACACCCAACTAGAGGCCTCAAGGGGAGGCTTCTGCCCTCAAAGAGCCATAAGGGTCCAAATGCTTTCTGGGAAGAACTCCTCCAGTTCAACTCCCAACTCCTAGGTTTTGGGTCAGCACCCTACTAAAAGCCACAGGAGCAGAGTACCCTTCAGTCCACCCACCAGATTTCCAGACCATCTTAGGAGCCCTCATCATAGGGTATGGAAGGAAAGGGTAATCACCGTCAGATCTTCAGAGGTTCAAAGTCAGAACCCTGATGTAGAGGGCCTGACAATATCCTAGAGCTGGGGAGAAGTGGACCCCCCCCCCAGCCACTTGCCTGCACATATAAGCCCAGGGCTCGCAGAGGTATCTGGTTATATATTACCCCGCATGTTTCTTGCAAACCTCTCCAACTCCCACCAAGTTCCCACCTTCAGTGAGAACCCAGGTGCTGCCACTGGGTCACTGAAGCAGACTGTGCCTGGTTCTTGGTGCCTACAGACTTAGCCCCAGTGCCTAACTCAGACCCAGTTTGCTCCACTTCTCTACCCAGATGCATACAGGGCTACCTTCAGATCACACAGTCGCAACCACTCTTGTCCTTCGTCCTCCACCAAGGCACCCTATGCTGCTTGAGGACTCCAGCCTTTATAGAGCCCAGACCTTCACATTTACAAAACCAAGACAGTGGCTAGTTTTAGGAAATGAATGTAGTCAACTTGGTATTAGACCATAAATTTTCCTACTTCCCCAATTCTGGTAATAATTGAGCTGGAAATTAACCAGGGGGTTCTCTTGTACTGATGACATTGGCCAAACAACCACACACATGGGTTTTGCTAAATTCTTTTATTTTTGTTTAAATTTTCACTTCAATTTTAATTCTTGAAGAACAGCCTCGACAACATATATCGCACTCATTATAAGAAGCAAAGGGTTATATCAAAAATTATTAGTATAGAATCACAGGAAATCTGGTTTGGAACCAGAAAAAAATACAAAACAGATATAGATACATAGACACAGGACAAATTTTTTATAATTATTTGGAAAATGTTATTTTCCCCTAATTCTTGTTTCCTTTTTTCTTTATGCGCATACGATGTTTAAATTTTACAAAAAAATGAAAATAAAGACTAGTATTTTACAAAATGAATAACAATGTTCAGTGTGTGTGTGTGTGTGTGTGTGTGTGTGTGGTGTGTTTCTACATAGGATTCAGTCCATTTCCATATGTGTTGTTTTTCTGTACAGAATATATCCACATCCGTCCACAATAAATCCTGGAAGGTCCATTGGTCTCCTTCTGTTTTATTAAAATTCTTATGGTCCTCTCTTCCAAAAAATGTTTTCATTTTCTCACCAGACATAAGATCCTTTTTTTCTTTCCTTTGCAACGTGCTTATAGATCTGATCCTAAAAGAGTTTCTTTTTCTCCTGGTTTGCAGCTCCAGTTGCATTTCTGCAGGGTGGGCTGCTCCTGTCCCCAGCATTCTTTCCCCTGCCTGGTCTGCCTGGCCTGCCTGGTCCTCCACACCCGGAGAGTCCCCGAGGCGTTGGAGTCCTTGGCCCGGATGAGTCCTCTGAGTTTCTAGTGGGGGCAGGGGCAGGCAGGAAGCACCCAAGGTCTAGGAGCACTGGATGGACATGTAAGGCCAGTTGAAGCTGCTCCCAGACAATAACATATCTCGGATGAGAGTTTCAATAGGGGTTTTACCTACCAAACGGACGAAGAAGAGCTGCTCGATGACAGAGGAGGACACGGTGCGCAGCGAGGGCAGTCGCAGCAGCAGTTTGCCGAAGCGGCTGGGCTGGTTGGGGTACTGGCTCCTCACATATTCCTCCAGTGCGCATTGTGATTTCTCCTGCAGGCTTTCGATGTGGGCGGCATCCGACAGGCCACAGGCATCTGCCAGAGCAGCCACAGGAGGGAGAGACAGGGAGAGGGGGCACATGGTTAGCTGGAGAGCAGCAAAGGCACAAACAACAAGCCATTAATTTTTTTAAAGAGAATGAAATAAGGAAGAAAAAGAAAAAAAAAGAGAAATCTTCCCCTCATACCTCCCCCCTCTCTTCTTCACCATTCCTTTCCAGATACAAATAAAAATAAATCATAATCCCACTGTAGCAGAGGGGTGTTGGGGAGAGATGCACACTCATGCAGAGGCAGCAACCTCTCTAGACTCTTTGTTTTTCCCCTTTCACTTTGGATTAAATAATGTACGATGCTGGAGCCATGTTTGCTGTATGTAGCAACCTGTCCTCGCCTGCAGGGGAGCATCCTTCTGGCTGTGCTCATTAAAGGGAAGACTTTCCCCATTTTGCCCCTAATTTGGGGGTGTTCAGGACTTCTGAAAAAGTATATAGCCTGGAGGCAGTTCTCAAAGGCTTCTTAGAGTCCCCTCTCAAAACCAAATGACCCCAACTAAAAAGCTCAAGGAGAACCTAGATTATGTACTGAATGTGTGTGTAGGGGGGCAGGTAAGGAATCATGGGCTGGCAGTGCCTAGAATCAGATCAAGCTCATGCTTTAGCAATATAGGATTTGAGATCCACTATCTATGCAAGCAAAGACTCTGCAGCAAATCCTCCATGAGAGTGTACACTTCTATCTATGCCTTAGATCAAGTAATTGAAAATTGGTCACATCTCTAAGCTGTATACTAATCAGAGGAATATGGCTCAGTTATACTAGGCTGCAGAAGAGACATCTTTGGTGAGCAGACACAAAGCTGGGCTAGAGGCAGTAGCAGCTGCTGCCGGTTCAGAATCAGGGAATAGGGAGTTACGGGGAAACTTGGGGGAGATAGGTTTTCTGTGGTAAGACCTAAGGAGAAAAAGGTACCTCTGCAAAATGATGACATTTCAAGATCTGTGTGCTTATTTCATACCAACCAAGGCCCTTATTGGTCTTCTAAAGACATTTCAAGACAGCAGATCATACTTTATCAACAAACTTGAGGCAAGGAAATGGAGGGTTTAGGTGGAATCAGAGGAATAGAGTAAAGACTTCCATCTTAGTTCAAATACTCATGTTGTTTCTCACATTAATAATAAATATTTTAGAAATAGGAGGATCACAGAGGAGCACTTAGCTAGTCAGGTTGACTAGAGATCAAAGACATAGTTTGCTAATATATASACCTGTAAGAAATACATGCATGGCAATGCCCCCAAAAGGATACCATATGATTGTGAATGGGCAAGTGTGACCCTAAAGAAGACATCACAAATGATTCAAAGAGAAACCTGCATCCACTGAGTTCCTAAGCTTTATGTCCTTATATTTCAAGAACTAGGATTTACAAAGCATTCTAATACCTTCTTCTACAAGGCTATGGCCTCAAGCAAAAATACAAATAAAACTAGCAATAATTCAAGACCTTCTGAGGCAAGTCCCCTTTGACCTCAGATTCAGACTGGGTTCCTTTCAGATGTCTAATTACTCCAGCCACCTGGTTGGATGTATCCACAGTGGCTTGAATTGGGAAGTCTGTGAGATTTTATGGCCAGCAGGACCAGGACAGAAGCTCTTTGGGGTTTCACTATTTAGAGAGGTCTGCCCTTGGTTCTACTTGCTTACCTGATCCAGTTGAATGGCCATCCTGCAGACCCATATTTACATATATCTTGCTTTACATGTATTATCTTTCATTGTGCCATGAATCCCTTTTAGCCCAAGACAATATGGAAAGAAACCATTGCTACCCAGAAAAAAAATTAATGATCCATATGGCAACCCCTCAGATCAGTAAAATAGTTATCTAATATTTGCAAGTAGGGTTCCCAGAGTGCAAGGTCATTCTCCTACTCCCAGATAGGTCACTTCAAGAGAGAAGCTCAGGAAAGTTAAGCTTGAGTTCTGTGCTTTCTGTTTCCATTTCTTTCCTTCTTTGGGAATGCGGTGCTTCTAGCTGGGCCTGTGGTCTCCCTACAGCAGGAGCCCTAATTCTGGACCTGGCTTCTCACCCTGGGTATTCATTAACCCCATTGCAACAGAATTTTCCCAAGTGTGGGCTGAGGATATGCACTCTCACATCAATTGGGGGATTGTGGTGGAAAAGTTAGGTAAGCAGGAGGTGAAATGCAGTACATATTTACACTCCATGAGTTATACTTCAGATAAGAAAAGGAGATGGATTGTGCAAAATTCATGTCGCACTTTTTATATGGTAGTGTCAATGTGGGAACCCTCAATATTTCTTCTACAGTGTATGGAAAAGAAATTATGTAAATAAATAACCATTACTGCTCAGGCCCTCCCGGCTTAGCCTTTGTAGTGCAGAGAATGTATTTCATGTTGTGCATTCAGAAGAGTTTAGTGTTCAGGAAATATAGATGTAATCAGCTGCCATAACTAGAAATCAAAGTTATTATTGTGCTGAAAATGGATTTATTGTATTTATGTTAACTAGATGACTCCTTTCAGAGATGGTCTCATTTATTTGAAGGAATATTTAGGTGTATGAATTAATGAATTTTTTTTAAAAAAGTAAGTTTAGGTCACGACCTAGTCCTTGGATGCTGTCCAGAATATTAAGGATTAAACATACCATCCGGAGGCCAAATGTGAAAACCACCACAGGGGACCCCCCCGTGCCAACTTCAAATACTTGCCAGAGCAAACCGCGTTGGACAATATGTCTAAAACTGTCTTTTCCATCATTCAAAGTTTGCTTAAAAGTTGGATGACTTTGAGAAGGCTACCCATGAATTCCCTTCTGGCTGGCAATCAAAACAAGTTTAGTCAAAAGTGGAAATGTTTTGTATGGGGGGTGGGTGGGTGAATTACTACTGACAGCTCTATTTCCATTTTCAGATATTTTTCCTTGCAGTTTTCCAACAAAATATTGTTAATTGTTCACTTTTAGGCATCCCTTGTACCTTGAAGACTTGGTTCAAGAAACTTCTTTGGAAAACTTTTTTTTTTTTTAAATGGTACACTTTTCACAGGAATATTTTAGGATGGAAAGTTAAAAGAAAAGCATGAATAATTCCACAATGTTCCCAGCAGCCGGCACAGTCCTTGCCTCTCTCTGGGAAAGGGCATAAGATCAGTAGAGTCAAGGGGAGTCAAAGAATCTTGGGGGAACAAGGAAAAGGGAGGGAAGACCTTTCTTGAGAAGACCTCTGTCCAGCTCCAAGTCACATTTATGCTTCAAGACACCTCGCTGGATAAGATTTTAAAATCCTAGCTTCCCTGACACTGGCTTGCTTCCTGATGAATTTGGCTAAAGAATCGGGTAGTAGAGAGCCAGCCAGGCCCCATGCCTGCCAGAGCTAAAGCAGCCTGGTCGCTGCTTCCCAGGCTCTTTGTCACTTTTGAAAAACACGTTTCCATCAGGAAGACTTATTAAGATAAAATGCATTCAAACACCAAGGAGGCTATTCAATAAATCTTCCATTTGTTTTAAGGTTTGCACTTTATCCTCTTGCAAAGAATACTCCTTCTCTCACTAGCAGACCTGCATTTTCACTGAAAGTAAAAGGGGGGCAGTCCAAGTCCATGGCTCTGGCCACCCTGCATACAAATGAGATACTCTTGTCTAAATAAATTATCTGCTGTTCAGATCGATATTAATACTACATTTGCTACATTACAATATTGTGCAAATTTAAGAGTCATTTTAATACAATGTAAATACGATTCTTCACGCATGAAAGCCAAGAAATATTGATAGATTTTACCACTGCTTAGTGTTCAACAAGGCCTTGGGAAAGTGGTTTTGCCATCTCTGCTCAAGAATGTTTTTAATTTGGCTTTTGGAGGGCCCGACTCTAGGATAGATTTATTAGAATGGTTTATTTGTTCCCCGAATGGAGGAATTAAAAAACAATAGTGCCAACAATGGTGATAAAACTGCAGCTACTCCTACTCACAGTGGGCAGGGCCCAAGACCTAGTCTAAGCAGCACTGTTCCCCACCAGCCTCCTTTCTGGCTTTGTTTATATTTCCCCCCATTACCTGCTGTACAGGGTGTTTATATGTTTCCCTCTTACAGGTTACAATAATAAAAGGCGGGCAGTGTTCTCAGAGGCTCAGACCAGAGCCCTTCAAAGAAAACGTTAATGCACTTTCCTGGAAGTTAATTTGAACCATCTATCATAAGAGAAATTGTTAACATCCATGTTACCACCACCTACACTCAATTTGATATTTTCAAGGCACTACTTTAAATTTTCAATATTCAGTATATTTTGCATAGCTATGAAATTTATCTGCAGGCCCGGAATCCTCTCTTATTTGCGGATTCTACAGTATTGCTTTTGTTTTTTATCTTTCTTGTTTAGATCGAATCCGTTTTTTATGACCCTCAATAACCTCAGCAACTGCAAACATGAATGGTTTCCGATAAGGGAAAATCAGGCAGCAATAAAGTAGGATTATTTATGATTTATTTGCGTGTATTCTTCTCTTTCCACCTCTGAGTGTCTCTTTCTGTCGGGAAACTCATCCAGGGAACGTGCCACACAGAGTAGGAAGCCACATTCCCACGTTCTCTTCCTCCCCTCTCCTCCCACAGAAACGCTGAGCCCTGGCTCTCTCTCTCACACATACACACACACACACACACACACACACACACACGCACACACACACACACACTCACACGCACACCGCATACACACACGCACACTTACACACCGTACACACGCGCAGCCAGAGCGACCCACAGCACAGCCTCCCCTCCTCCCTAGGTGCACACCCACCGCAGTCGCGGATCCACGCGGGGGTCTCGGCCTCTAGGCCTGGCTGCCGGCGGGCCGCAGCCGCGCAGCATCGGCTCCCCGCACCGCCGCGCTCCCAAGATGGCAGCGGCGCGGCCGGCCGAGTTCCCGCGCCAGGGCCGCCGACCTACGCCAGGCCCAAGGTCCGGCGAGCGATCGGTCTCACGCCGCGGCCTCGGCGGCGCGGGAGACGCGGGAAGCCAGGCCTCGGCAGCGAGGTGCTGGCCCTGGCTCCCGGCGCGGCCTGCCCTCCCGGCGACCGACCGCAGCCTCACCTGACGTGAACAGCACGATGGCTTTGAGGCAGCTGTACTCTGCGGAATCGACGTGCAGAGCCTTGAGCTTCTCCACCTGCTCCTGAAAGATGCGGATGTGGTCCATGAAGGCCACGACGCGGTCGGCGGACATGGGCGAGGCGTGCAGGCCGGCGGCGGCCAGCAGCGGCGCCACGTGCAGCGGCATGGAGCACTGGGCCGCGTTGAGCACGAACAACTCGCTCCAGGTGAGGCGGAGTAGGGACACCTGGTCGGTGATCTGCAGATCCGGGAAGAAGGGGATGTTGCGGGCCCACTCGACGGCGCTGAAGAGCAGGCGCGCGGCCAGCTCGCAGATGTTCTCGATGCCCATGATGTTGTTGGGCTGCATGCACTGGCTGCCATAGCGCGACGTGGGGTAGGGTTCGGCGCGCAGCAGCAGCGAGATGTAGCCAGACAGGTAGCAGTGGCCATTGAGGGGGTCCCCGTTGGTGAGTGCGTACTGGCCTGGATTGGGCTGGGTTGGAGGCATTCTTCCTCGCTGAACCGCTGACAAAAGAAAGAGAGAAAAGAGGCAATGTGCATCCAGGGGGCTTGCGAACATCGCGCGCCGCAGCGCACCCGACACAATGCAGCAGCTTTTCCCCGCAGCCACACACTCCCGGGCATATCTAAACCGCTGGTTCTCACAGCCCACACCTCGAGGAGATCTGGGATGAGGCCCTCCAGCTCTGCAACTCGATGGGTCCAGCCATAGCCTGCTGCCCCTGATCATCTCAGCTCCAGCGGAGCTAGGCCTGACTTCAGGGACCCAGCTCCGCAAGGCGAAGAAAGTACCATCCACCCCACGGCTTTCAAAGAGGAACATCCAGATAAATGAAACCCCATTCACCCCTCCAGAATGAAGCAAATCAGGGTTAAGAAGAAAAAAATAAAAAAGGCGAAACCTGAGAAAGGTTGTGGTTGGAGGCAAATGCCTAGCGGCCTCCTCATTTGCAAACAAGCAGCGTTTTGCTCATAAAATGTTTCCATATTCTCTTAAAATGCTATAGTATTATCCTTAAAATAGATACAAGTTACATATCCTACTAACCACTTACAACTTTTGAGTAGAGAACAAGTATCCTGTAAACCTCCCTTCTCCCCTCCTCCCGATCGCCCCATACAAAGTTCTCACTATTAAAAGCAACAGAAAATTGAAAATTTTCAAGAAAAAGTTGAACTTACAGTAGCCAAACATTATTGAAAAAAGTGGGAAATATAATTAATGTCTGTTCTGCTCCGTGCCACTGCAACCTGCAGCCAGCTTTTGCCCAGTGAATGCACGAGCTTGCAACTGCAAAAACACTGGATTCATTAACCATCTGAATGCAAAACGTAAGCATGCTTTGAGTTCTTAAAGCTGACCAAAGTTTTTTTTTTAAATGTGTATGTTTTACTTCAACAGTGCCAACGTTTTAAATTGCCAAGTAAACAAAGACAACTTTAGGAAAAGTTAGGGCTACTGAACTCTCCCCCCCCCCAACAAATTAATATAGATATGTCCATGTACATGTAGCTGCCTTATTTCAGGTTGTGCACTATTTTCTTAAGTTTGCTTTGATTCTAATTTCAATGCAAGTTCCAGTGCAATTTAAGACTTGAAACATAATGGCTCGAATACTTTTTTTCTAATTATAGTTTTGAACTTGGCAGTTATTTTTCAATTAAATGAGAGCACAATTCAAAGTTTTTTTTTTTCTTCTCCAAATGCCTACAAAATCTCCCTGGAGCTAGAAATGAAGTCGTCATATTTGCCTGCTCCTTGAAATCTGAAGGAATTCAATTTCTTTTCTTGTGGCATATAAAATATAATTTTAAAGTCAATTACAAGAAGGAGTAATCTGCATTCTGCAAAATTGACTGGTTCACTAATTTGACTATAAGACATCTTTAATGATTGTCAGGAGATAAACTTTAACTATAAACAGCTAAATATATTTATAAGAAAAGTGCTGCATCTCTTGCCACATGAACATGAAGCATATCCAAATACAACATCAAAAGTTGTGTGTGTGTTTTTTTAAAAAAACAAACCCATACAACAGGGATTAAATGATGTGGAAGCTCATGCCAGCTGCAGTCTATGCATTATGGCCAAATCAGAAGGATCGGTAAATGCCGTTGTAAATTGTAATTTGTATGCAGTATTTAAGCAGAGGGTGGAGTTTGATGAAGAAATAAAATGAGTATCATGCTTTAAAAAAAATGACACTACTATGAAAGCACAGTTCAGTCACAAACTTTCCTTTCAAAGTAGAGGGGTGAAAACAAGGCCATAGCTCTGGAGGAGGCGGCCCCAGCTCCATGAAGAGGAGAGGGAACCAGTGAACAGGCCAGAAGCCCCCCTTCCCCCCTAATTAGACCTACAAGTGCAATAAATCTCACTCCTCTTTTTCCAAGCTAAGCTTCCAAAAGGATGATGGCAGCAATGAATCTACTGCTCATGGTACTCCAGCCCCCAGCCCTCTCCTTTTTAAAATAAAGGGTATAAAGAGGTGGAGGGGAAAGTGGAATGAAAAAACACAGGAACTGTTTCCTGGGGGAAAATAGGCACCCCTGCCCAAGTTCATGCCAGCACATCCCCAAGCATCCTCACGCACACGCGGGAAAGAGACACACACCAAGCACATCCAACAGAGGAAGGGAGGGGATTTTAAGCCACAGCTCATGATCCCAGGGACACAATCCTGAGCAGGCAGCGGGCGGGGTGGGGGAGCCGGGGAGAGGAGCGCAGGCTGGGAGGGGGAGGCAGCGGCAGCGAGCTGAGCGCGGGGAGGGGGGGACGCTGGGGGAGGAATGCAGCGGGGACCACGGAAGCTGGGACGGGCCGGGACCACAGGAACCCCAGGAACCCCAGCCCCACACAGCAGCCACCCCGGTGAGACAGAAAGAGAGAGCCAGGAAAGCGGGCTAAGCGCGGGGAGAGAAGCAGAGAAGAAATATTCACCTTCCCGCCTCATGCCCACTTTGAGGCACTTCTTGAGGCGGCAGTATTGGCACTGGTTGCGGTGGTGCTGGTCGATGGGACAGTTCCTGTTGGCACGGCATGTGTAAGTTAAGTTCCTGCGGACGCTCCTCTTGAAGAAACTTTTGCAGCCCTCGCAGGTGAATTGGCCGTAGTGCTTGCCGCTCGACTTGTCCCCGCACACCACGCACTCGATATGCTGCTGGCTCTGGCCCGAACCGGGCGGGCCCTGGCCCTTGTCCCCCGCCGTGCCGGGGGTGGCGGGCGCTCCAGGCTGGCCCGGGGTCTGCGGCGTGTGCGGAGCGCCCGAGCCCGCCTGCTGCTGCTGCTCGCCGGCGCCGCCGCCGCCGCCGCCGCGGGCCGCCTGCGCTGCGGGGTTGGGGCCGCCGGGGTTGCCCCCGGCCACGTCGTCCTGCGGATCTCGCCAGCTGCTAACTACCATTGCCATATCTTTGGGCCCTGGGAGCGCTGGGGGGAGCCGAGCTGCTCGCCGAGGGCCGAGGGGCGCGCGGGCGCGCTGGGAGGGGAAGGGGAAGGGGAAGGGGGGAGGGGGAGGGGGCGGGGGGCCCACCGGGCGCCCCGGGGTCGCGGGAGCCGAGCCCGAGCCGGGCACCGGCCGCTGCCTCCGCCGCTGCCGCCGCTGCCGCCGTTACTGCCTCGGCCGCCCCGCTGCTGCTGCGCGCCCGCCCGCCCTGCTGGCGTTTTGTTGTGGTTCCTGCTGTTTTCTTTCTCTCTTTTTGCAGCCCCCCCAGGCTCTCAGGCTCCCCCCCCAACACCCCTGCTCCCCTCGCCCGCTCCCCCCGCGCTCCGTTCCTGGGGGGGCCGTGCTCTCCTTCCCCCCTCCCCACCCCCCGGCGAGCAAGCTCCCTTCTCTCGCTTTTTTCTTCTTCCCCAAGTTGCAAAATCAGAAATGGCACAGGCGGCAGCCGGGAGCGGCGCGGGGCGCAGCGCCGGGGGCGGCGGGCATGGGCCACGGCGCGCGCACACACTCGCCCTCCGCCTTGCCCGCACCCCCGCGCACACACACACTCGCACACACACTCGCTCACCCGCGCCGGGCGCCCGCCCGCCCGCTGTCCGCTCGGGCTACGCGCAGCGCGCGGGCTGAGCCGACATAGAGGAAGCCGGCGAGGGCGGAGGCGGCGGCGGCAAAGGAGGAGGTCGCGGCTGCAGGCGCCGCTGGAGCTACCGCCTCAGCTGCTGCGGCGATCGCCGCTGGAGAAGCCCGGGCCCGGGCGGGAGTCCGAGCTGGAGTCGGGGCCGTAGCCGGAGCGGGAGCCGAGGCCGGGACCGCCCTCGCCGCCGCTGCTGTCCCAGTGGGAGCCCTCGTGGGGCTCGGGAGTGCTGGGAACGGGCTGAGCCGAGCAGGACGCCGGGCGAGGCTGCCGGTGGCGATCAGGGAGCGCGGGTGTCGGGGGGCCAGGTCCAGGGCCGGACGCAGCCAGCCATTCAGGAAGGCAGCGCTGGAGAGCGGGAGGCAGCCGGCGAGGAAGATCACACACTTTGCTCTTTTTGTTGTGCCGGTGGCGCCGGGCTCTCGCTGCCTTCTTCTTTCAAGAGGTGACGGAAGGGGGAGAAAAATACAAGATAATTCACGCCGGCGACGAATTCACAGCGAAATAGAAAAAAATAAAAATCAGAAGAAAACAATTGCAAAAAAAGGAAAAAGAAAAAGCAAGAGAGACATCCAAAGTAGGTCGAATAAATAATCTTCTTTTCCTCTTTCTTGCTCCTTCTTCTGCTTCTTCTGCTATAACACACAGAGCTAGTTAAAAAAACCCTGGAGATCGCCCAAAAATGTTCTTTTTTTAGTATTTTAAATAAGTGCTCTTCAGCCGGGAACCAACACCCTCCCTCCAAAAAAAATCATATATGTATAAAATAAAGATAAGAAGAATACGAAGGGGGTGCCTCCTCCTCCTCTTCCTTTTTTTTTTTTTTAAGTTTAGCCCTCTCTCTTCTGCAGGAATGGAGTAAAAGAGACAAGGAGGAGGGAGAAAAATGAGAAAAAGAAGGAGAAGAAGGGGGAAACAACTAGTAGAATATGTAAGAAAAGAGAAAGGGGAGAGAGGAGAAAAAAGAGGGCGATAGGAGAGACAGAAAGAGACAGAGAGAGAGAGCAAGAGAGAAAAGGGAGAGGGGAGAGAGAGAGAGAGAGAGAGAGAGAGAGAGAGAGAGAGAGAGAGAGAGAGAGAGAGGAGAGAGAGAGAGAGAGAACCCAAAAATTGAATGCGTTTAAACGGGAGGACTCGCAGAGCAATGTTTCCGAAAGGGGGATCTGCGCGAATGTCTGTATATAGTGAACTTTGACACTACTATTGAAACTGACACGTTTCTATGGAGATCGCTGCCTTATATGGAGCTCGTGTCAAGGAGCCAAGAGAAGGGCTGCTGGCAACTGATAATCAAAGGCGACTGACTGGTCAGAGCCCCGAATCGGGGGGGAGAGAAAATGGGAGGCTAAGGTTAGCCAAGCCTCCTGCACGCCATTGGCTAGAGAGCCCCTCCCCCTCCTCTTTTTTCTTTCTTTCTTTTTTTTTTTTCTCTTTCTCTCCCCTCCCTCTTAGCTACCTACAGTCTGGGATAGCGAGGGGAGGAGGAGAGAAAGTGAGGGAGGGGGTGTGCTTCTGACAAGCGCAATTTACATTGAGATCACCCTGCGCTGCTATTTACTCTGAGACCTGATTAGTATGGGTCGTCTATGGTCACACACACACACACACACACACACACACACACACACAGGGGGAAGGGATGAAGGGGGAGAATGTCTTATGATGGGAAAAAAACGAGAATGAGGATATTATTTTTATCTCTTCTGAAAAGTTTTTAGAATTAGATTTCATGAACGTGAAGAGAAAAATCATTCAAAGTGTTAGGAAAAAAATTTAATGGGAATAAAACTTCATCATTTTAATAATTTCTGAAATATACTGGATTTAGTTTGTTTTCTTCTTTTACATATAACCAAAATCCTAGTCTGGGTTTTGCTCATTTTATGCACTTTTTTTTTTTTTTAAGAAAAAAGGTAGGGTCATCCTACTTTTTGATCCAAAGTATATCTTGGTTTTAAAGATTTAATTATGACCAAGCACACTCGTGAAATTTACAGCTATGGCCACAAATTCGATCCGAATCAACGGTTCCTATTCATCCCAAAGATGATTTTAAAATAAACTTTCCAATCAAACCGTTGTTTCCATCTTCATCCTTTTTTTTTTTTTTAATCCCAGGCTGTTTCAAACTCCAAACAATGCGTCAATAATTATTAATAAAACAGTAGTAAGTCATCATATTGTTGGGGGTGGTGGTGTTAGAGCGGCCAGGAGTCCCAGGAAAAGAGCAAACGAACGAGGAGAGGGGGAGGAGAAGGGAGAGCAAGAAGGAGAGGGAGGCAGGGGTGGGGGTGTGTGGGGGGGCAGATACTAAGACCCTGATTCCCGAAGGTGATTGGTCGCAAAAGGAGGGGCAGGCGGGAGGAGCGGGTCCCGCCGCGGGGCCTGCAGGAATCGCTGGCTCCGGCTGCCACCTAGCGGACGGGAGCCGTTCCCGGGCGGCACATAGCCGAGTCCCTCCTCCCCTCCCCACAGGCAGCCTGTGCCTTTTCTCCAAACGAAGACAGCACTTTGAAAATTCTTTCAATGGATTTTTTTTCCTTGAAAGATCGTACTGGGAGAAAATGATACTTCTATTAGTTACATATTCTCCAATCCCACACTCGCACCCCCCTCGTTTTGAGATCGCTCCCCTAGGCAGGCTCAGGCGGGCGCGGAGCGGAGCGGAGTGACAAAGCCGCCGTTGCTGCCGCCAGGGGTGGGAGCCGCGCTTTCCCGCCCACCCCTCGACTGGGGAGAGCGTAAAAGTTTGACTCAGCTCGAGCGTTCCGAGTTCCAACAGGCCCTCAGGTAAAGGTGGAAGTAAATGACCACGCTGTGTTGACAGAGGTAGGGTTTGTTTTTTAATACTCGTTCTCACTTTAAATTTCACCAGGGAGGGGTTTGGGAAGCACTGCGCGTTTGGGGTACGTTTTGCGCTTCTCGGTCTCTCTAGTCTGTGAAGTCGCGAGTCGTAGACCGTTTAGTGACGAGTGATGATTTTAAAGAGCAGAATAAAGGCTTTCTCCAGTCTGCCCCGCAGCCCCTCCAGCTCGAATAATGGAGAGACTGCCAAGGCGCTCCGCTTGCGGCAGCCCATTGTACGAAGCTGATGAAGAGGAGGCGACCGGGGGTGGCAGGGGCTCCTTGCCCTAGCCCCTTTGCCCAAATAAATGTGTTCCTGCTCCTGGCCAGTTAAAAGATGAAACGAACCTGATTCAAATAGACCGAAAAAAAAGGAAAGAAAGAAGGAAAAAAAGGAGGAAATAAAGGAAGAGTGAAAAAAAAGAAAGAAAAAAATCATGTAGAAATCTAAATTAAATCCCCATCCAGTTAGAGGCAGGGAGTTCGAGAGCAGAGAGAGCAGGCATAGAGAGGGAGACTGTGAGAGGGAAAGAGAACGCGGAGAAAAGGAGAAAGTGGGAGAGGAAGCGGGAGTCAGCGCCAGGGAAGCGGAGGCCTGCTGGACGCCGGGTCCGCAGGCCCAGTCGCGCTCGAACCCTGGACTGTGCGTCGTGGGCACCAGAAGCGAGATTCGGCCAAGTCCTACCCCATCAGGCAAGTAACGCAATGATTATCATTTCTTTTGAATTTGGGATTGGTAACACGGTCAGGCAGGGAGGCAGTCTTGGTTCTCACGCAGGCGGGGGACACGAGTCGAGGCAGCCAGGGCTGGTAAAGGAGAACTTTCCTCCGGGCCTGTTCCGGAGTTGCCCTTGCCTGGCCTCTGTCCCGCCGCGTCGCCTCCTAGGAGGTAAGAATCCTGCCAGTCCATCGTCAGTTCAAATTCAAAACAGGTTTCTCCCATTTGGATCAGCTATTCCCAAACTACCCCGCCCCCGCTACGGCGGGAAACGGCTGCCGGCGCTGGGGAAGCGGGACTGTGGACCCTCCAGCTTGGCCGTCCTAGCCGGTGCAGAGCCTTCGCTGCGGTGCAGCGGGCTGGCTCTGGTGCTCGCATCTTGTCTGGCTGAGGCCAGGACCTGGCGAGCTCGGCTCTTGCCGCCCACCTGCGGGCGCCGTTTGTAATGTGATCCCTTAATGTAACGCAATCGATGGCTGCCTGTTTGATGTGGGCGATAGTGTCAGCGGATTAAAAGGGACATCAAACCGTTCTCCCAAGTGGAGAAGCTGCTGCTGCTGCTGCTGCTGCTACGGCGGCGGCGGCAGAGCACCAGGATCTGCAGCCTTGCAGCCCAGCCAGATTCCTGGAGCCGCGGCTAGCGGTCTGGTGGCGGGGAGGGGGTCGCTTCCCAGGGGTGGGGACCAAGGGTGTGTATGTGAAAGGAAGAGCCTCAATTAAAGCCAACAAGAGCGCTTTCCCAGGCGCTGGGCAGGGGAGCGCCGTTTGCGTCAGAGGGCGTGCAGGGCGGGCGCGCAGGGCTGCGGGCGGGGGTGGGGGGCGGGGAGCTGCCACTGGGACCCCGCCCGGGGTCCGGGTGGGCTCTGGGATGAGCCAGCCTAGCCTGTCAGGGCTGGATCGGGGTCAGGCCTTGCAGGCGAGGGTTAAGGCTAGGCGGCGGGAGAACCAGCTGAGCCGTGTGTGTGTGGGGGGGTGGGGGGGAGTGCAGTGACGCCCACCCATCCTCGGTGTGGACTTTACCCGCTCCCACCAAGCTTCCAAACTTGCAAAGGCCCCTGGGACATGGCATGACCCCGGGGGCGGGGTAAGTCGGGTCCTGGAGGCCTCAGGCGAAGCTGCGGACTCCTCTGGAAAGAAGGGGGAGGGTGCAGTTCCCAGCCACACGTAGTTCAAGGAGTGGGGGTGGGTGGCTGCTGGTAGCCGTGAGCAGAGCTGCGGAAGCCCTTGGTTTTCGGAGGAGAGGAGCCACTAGCACTACTTCGGGGCAAAAGTGACCCCTTTGAGAAGGGTCAGAGAGAAACCGAAGCTTTTCCAGGAGGGCATTGAACCTTCTCTGGGACTCGTTCGGCTTGAGCAGCACTCAGGGCTCACTTTTTCTTCCTGACCCTGTGCTCCCCAACCGCAAATGCTCCACTTGTGTTCACAGCCCCGCCTCCAGCAAAATGGCTTCCGTGGAGGGACCGAGGGGTCAGCCCAGGTCCCAGGGAGCCTTGATTTTCTTTCTTCAAGGCTGTGATTTGATAATGTTCCAACTTAGCACGCTTGTCCTAGGCCTAATGCACCCCACACCCAACCAGGAGATAACGATGATTTCTGTTGTTGTGTAGGTCACCTAATAAAAAAATGATCGTAGTTTCGGAAGGCACCTGGGTCCCCAAACTGTGAAATTCCACACATGTGTCCAGGCACGCTCAGCTGTAGAAGCAGAAAACGCAGTTGCATTTTCCACCCTTCTTTCACCCACCTTCTTTTCCCCAGATTCTCTCCCTCTCTTCTTACCCACTCCCTTTCTCTTCCTGAAACATAAATTGAGTCTGGACTGTGGTTCTTGGACTCAGACCCTTTGTGGCTTTTGCCTCAGCACTCTACCTGAGGCTGTCAACCAGGCCTGCCAGAGGCCCTCTAGTCTCTCTTCCGGTTAGACGGGGCTAGGTACTGTCAGAGCTCCTTGACCTCCTTTCTGGACTCTTCCTTTGACTTGCTGGTCCTCACAGACCTGTTCAATGTATGCGAGGTCTTGTGGGCTGCTAGCATCATGGTTGGGTGTTAATCACTTTTAAAAGACCTATCACATAGCACTTGATGTCTCCCAGTCTGACAGCCAGTAAACGTGATCTGGTGGGAGACAGAAGCAGAGATCTGTGGCAGCACATACAGCGGCGACTTGAGTCCCAGGCTCCAGAATCTAGATCTAAAGGGTCTTTCTAGCCTATTAACACCCCACCCCCATATCTTTCTTACCGTGAGGGCTAAACCATCTTCACTAATCCTGTGGCCTCTTTGATATTGGTATTTTGCTCTCCCAAAAGCCACTGGATGGTTTACTTTGGCTTTTTGGTAAGTCACACTGAACAAAGGTTTTTTTTTTTTTTTTTTTTTTTTTTTTTTTTTTTTTTTTTTTTTTTTTCTTTTTTTTCTTTTGTTTTGTTTGTTTTTTTCTCCTGTTTTG